ATTGGCTGCCTCCTGCATGCCCCCCATTGGGGACTGGGCCCACAACCTGGGCATATACCCTGACTGGGGATTGAACCGGCGACCTCTTGGTGCATGGGTCAATGCTAAACCACTGAGCCACACCAGCTGGGACCTAGTTAAAAGTTTTTAATAACATTTTTGCACAAGGAATGGCTCGATTTTTTCCATTGGTTTCTTTTGACATGAAAGAAGACATAACTAATCACTGAAGGCGAGACCACACTCATGGCATTCGTGAGGTTCTGTTCTGTGAAAACCCTCCTGAGGGTGCACATCTGGCCACAGACTGGCCCACTATGACCACACTCCTGTTTGCTAGGAGCCCACTGATGTTTAATGCTGTCTGAGGGGCCACACAAGGCACCTGCACAGTCACTGTATTAACAAGGTTTTTCTGCTGCAAGAAACATGGTCTGGGATGAGCTGGGACTCTCTGTGAGAGAATTTTCCGCTTTGACTGAATCACCCCAATTCTCTCTTGTGTGTATACTCTTGGTTCATAAAGCAAGACATGAAGGCAAAAGCTTTCCCACACTCATTGCAAGTATAGGATCTCTCTCCTGCATGAGTTCTTCGATGGGGAATGAGCTTCTGCTTTGCGGTGAAGGCTTTCCACCGTCAGTGCATTCAAAGGGTTTCTCTCCTGTGTAAATTCCTCGATGTTTAATGAGACCTGACTTCTGGGAACAGGAATTTTCACTGCATACTAAGGGCACATTTCCTGTGTGAACTCTCTGATGTGTTATGATCCTTGACTATAGAATGAAGCCTTTACCACATTCACTGAACACTTTCCCAAATCCTCTGTGCATGCATCGATGTACACTGAGATGACTCCACTGTGAAGTCCTCCCCATATTCAGTGCACATATAAGGTTTCTCTCCTTTGTGATTCCGTGGTTGTACAATCAACCTGCTTTTCTCTCAGAAGCCTTCTCCACATTCACTGGGGACATAGGGGCTCTTCTGTGTGTTCCCTGATGTGAAATCAAATGACTCTTCAAGGTGAATCCTTTCCCACATTCACGGCACATATACAGTTTCTCTGAAGTATGACTAGACTGATGTACAGTGAGATCATGCTTCCTGGTGAAGCTTTTCCACATACACTACATACAAAGAGTTTCTCTCCTGTATGTGTTCGCTGATGTCTAATTAGATGAATCTTCTGTAAAGCCTTTCCCACATTCACTACATATATAAGGTTTCTCTCCTGTATGATTCCGTTGATGTACAATCAACATGCTTTTCTCTGGGAAGCCTTTTCCACATTCACTGCATAAATAAGGTTTTTCTCCTGTGTGAGTTCTCTGATGTACAATTGGATGCGTCTTCACAGCAAAGCCTTTCCCACATTCATTGCATGTATATGGTTTATCTGAAGAATGACTTAGCTGATGTACAGTGAGATCATGCTTCATGGTGAAGACTTTTCCACATACACTACATAAAAATGGTTTCTCTCCTGTATGTTTTCGCTGATGTCCGATGAGAGGACTCTTCGCGGTGAAGCCCTTACCACATTCGCTACATATATAAGGTTTCTCTCCTTTATGACTTCGTTCGTGTACAATCAGCTGCATCTTTCCTAGGAAGCCTTTTCCACAGTCACTGCATACCTAGGGTTTCTCTCCTGTGTGAGTTCACTGATGTATAATCAGATGACTCTTCATGGTGAAGCCTTTCCCACATTCATTGCATATGTACGGTTTCTCTGAAGTACAAGTTTGCTGATGTCAAGTGAGATTACTCTTCATGGTGAAGCATTTACCACATATACTACATACATAGGGCTTCTCTCCTATATGTGTTCGCTGATGTCAGGTGAGAGGAATCTTTGCTGTGTAGCTTTCCCCACATTCCCTACATACATAAGGTTTCTCTCCTGTGTGAATTCAATGATGTGCTATCAGCTTGATCTTCATTGGAAAGCCATTTCCACATTCACTACAAATGTAGGGTTTTTCTCCTGTATGAGTGCCCTGATGTACGTTAAGATATTTCTTCAGGATGAAGCCTTTCCCACATTCATTGCACACATACCGGTTTTCTGAAGAATGAGATTGCTGATGTACAGTGAGATCACATTTTATGGTGAAGCCTTTTCAGCATATAGTACATACATAGGGCTTCTCTCCTGTATGTGTTTGCTGATGTCTCATGAGACTTTTTTTTCCAGGTGAAGCATTTCTTACACTCAGTACATATATAGGGTTTCTCTCCAGTATGAGCTTGCTGATGCATGATAAGGCAGTGCTTCGTTGAGAAGCCTTTTCCACATTCATTACACACATACGGTTTCTCACCTGTATGAGTTCACTCATGATAAATCAGGTGACACTTTTTGATGAACACTTTCCCACATTCACTACATGTATAAGGTTTCTCTCCCATGTTAGTTTTCTGATGTATACTGAACTGTGATATCTTGAGAAAGGCTTTGTCACATCCACTGCATTCATCTTGTTTCAGTCCTGTATGAATTCTCTGATGTTCTGTGAAGTAAAATTTTCTGGAGAAGGCTTTCCCACACAGGCTACATCCATATGGTTTCTCTCTAGTATGCACTCTTTGATGATCAGTGAACTGAGACATCTTGATGAAGGCTTTCCCACAAAAGGACCACTCAGAAATGAAGGAGGCACTAACTGAAATAAAGAAAAATTTACAGAGATTCAATAGTAGTGTAGGTAAAGCCAAGAAGCAAACCATCAATTTGGAATATAAGGAAGCAAAAAACACCCAATCAGAACAGCAAAAAAAAAAAAAAAAAGCCAAAAAAATGAGGACAGTGTAAGGAGCCTCTGGGACAACTTCAAGCGTGCCAACATTCGCATCTTGGGGATGCCAGAAGGAGAACAGAGACAACAAAAAATTGAAAACCTATTTGAAACAATAATGGCAGAAAACTTCCCTAACTTGGTGAAGGAAGCAGACATACAAGTTCAGGAAGCACAGAGAGTCCCAAACAAGATGAACCCCAAGAGGCCCACACCAAGACACATCATCATCAAAATGCAAAAGGTTCAAGACAAAGAGACAATCTTAAAAGCAGCAAGAGAAAAGCAGTTAATTACCTACAAGGGAGTTCCCATTAGACTGTCAGCTGATTTCTCAAAAGAAACTTTGCAAGCTAGAAGATAGTGGCAAGAAATATTCAAAGTGATGAAAAGCAAGAACCTACAACCAACTATCCTGCAAAGCTGTCATTTAGAATCGATGGCCATATAAAGACTTTCCCAGACAAGGAAAAGCTAAAAGAGTTCATCATCACCAAACTATTATTGTATGAAAAGTTGAAGGGTCTTCTTGAAGAAAAAGATACAAAATATGAACAAACAAAATGGCAATGAATACATAGCTGTCAACAATTGAATCTGCAAACAAAATGAACAAGCAGAACAGAAACATTCTCATAGATATGGAGAACATTTTGTTGTTTGCCACAAGGGAGGAGGGTGGGGGATGGGTGAAAAAGTTGAAGGGATTAAGAAGTACAAACTGGTTGCTAGACTGACAAACTTCAAAGGGAAGGGGGGTTGGAGGGTGGGAAGAAATAAACCAAAGAACTTATATGCATATGCATAACAAATGGACACAGACAACAGTGTGGGAAAAGGCCAGAGTGGGGATGAGGGAGTCAATGGGGGGAAAATGAGGAACATCTGTAATATATTCAACAATAAAGATAAAATTAGGAAAAAAAAGATTGTTGTGCAGATATAAGTCCTGCTTCCTCCACCGATAGTTAAGGTGGGTTGGGTATAGTGAGAAACTACCCTAACAGATGGCATCGCCCTTACAAATGTAAACGTCTTTTATAAGCAGTAATGTCTATTAGCTCTAGAGAGTTTCTCCTAGGACGGCAGTTTCTTCAAATTTACCAGCCTAAAATAACCAACATTCAAAACAGGCATATTTTTTGAGGTGGGAAAATACTCCCCTTCAAAGTCAAGGTACGTGACATATAATTGGCTAGAACTCCACCATGTATTTAAGTTCATATCCTAGTAATTCCATCACTAGCAATGGGAACTGGAACCACCTCGGTGGAGTAAGACGGACTTGGACTGGGATATGGGTCACCTTGCCAGAAGGGTGGATATTAAATAGAATGAAGATTCTGTTTGCACAGAAGTATGCATAAAAGTGTATCAGGCAATTAAACAAGTGTCAGCTGCTACATATTAAGGAACGAAGGCATTGGCAAACATCCTCTTAAAGGGACACGTGAACATTTTCCTGACCAAAACGTCTGTGTCACAACGTCCCCCTTCTGCCTTTGCAGCACGAAAGCTGCCACAGAGGCTACGGGACAAACAGACGTTTAGTCCCTGGGTCTATGGTGAGTCAAATGCTGGATTAAAGGTTAAAAATTAGATGGTTTAAAAGTAATGCCCTCGGCCCTAATGCCGTCTGTTGCAGCAGCAGCTGATATCTTAACCTTAAGCAAACACCTGGGCCTGAGCGTCTGAAACTTCGCCCTCACCGCCCCTCCGACCACAGACCCGACCACACGTCCCCATCAACCGGACACCCGGGCCGGCGCCACCACCTGAGCATCACCCGCGCCGCTCAACGTCACTGCGCGGGGCGCGAACTATTAAATCCCAAACTGAACCTCACACCACGATCACCCTGAATGCCTCCTGCATCCCTTACAAGGGGGGTGACCTGCAGGGCCCCATAACCTGACAGTAGGGACGAGGACGCTGTCTCTACAGAGTCTTATTCTCTACAGACTCAGTCTGTGCACCGACCCCCCTGGACACCCCAACCACAGACACACGCGTCTGGTTACCCCCAAATTCCGTTCTCACGTGGGTCCCCTTAACTAGCACCACCTGGGCGCTTCTACGCTCTTCCTCCATCCCTGGTGGTAATTCCGTGCTCCGCACACCACCAAGTCCACACGTCACCCTGAGAGAAACAGAGCTGCTACTGTGACGCAAAACTCTCCAAGTACGAAACACACTGACCTGTTGGCCCAGACCCAGCGCAAACGTATTTCCGCGAACCTGTTCGACTTCTAAGCTGGTCCCGCTCGGTCTACGGTGGCCAATGAGGATCTGAGGTTCTGGAGAAAACGCGAATTGACCTCTGGTATTCATTGGCAATGTGTCCGCGCCCATCTCGCGATGGCGCTATGGGGGCCGCCATATCCGGACGCTTGATTGCAGTACAGGAGGAAGAGCCTGGGCTTTGGGGCCAGGCGAGAAGGTGTAAGCTTCTGAAATCATCTCATGACCATACAAATGAGTGGAAAATGAGTCTAGTTCAGAGACTCGAGCTTTGCGAGGCAAATAAGGAGTGAGCTAAATTGTGTTCAGCGGGTTGGGCAATGAAATTGTAAGGCCACAGACTCTAAACTTTGTATGAAATATATTTTTTAATTGTTTTGAAATATTTAGGGGCTCAGGTGTCAGTGTGTAGCAGCAGAAAATGAAATCCTGCAAAGAGAAAAAATATATAGAACTCGCAAAACAACAATAACAAAACCACCATCCAATTACTTTATGTATGCAGTCATGAATTTTCTAATAACTGGATTGTGGAGATGATGGGATAATTCTAAACTTCTTGAAAGTAAGTTGCACAATATTACATAAATGTTATATAAAAATTACAGCTATAAGCTGATAAAATGAATTGCTGTTATATACTACAAAGTTTATAGGGTATAAATTTAAAACAAACAAAAAACCCCATCAAGTACATTGGCAAAATTTTAAATCCTCCAAATTAAAAGTAAATGGAGCTCTGGCCAGGTGGCACAGCTGGTTGGACCGTCATCGCATACACCAGAGAGTTTCAGGTTCGATTCCCATCCAGGGCACATGCTTAGGTTTCAAATATTACCTTTACCATGGTTGGAGCAAGTATGGGACATGGCCAATGGGTGTTTTCTGGATTGAATTGAAGTCTCTTTCTCATCACACCATATCTAGGGGTAGAAACTATCAAAATAACTTAATGTTGATCACATGGTAAAGGTAATATTTGTCACGTTTCTACACTAAAAATACCAAAAAATATTCTGACCAAAAACAACCATCAAAGAGGGCTTACGTCAACAGATATGAAGAATTGTATATAGTAATTAATACTCTCAACAATAAAGATAAATTCAAAAATTAAAAAAGACTCCCCCTGGCCAGTTTGCTGCTCCATGGTTAGAGCGTCGGCCCGTGGTACATTTCTTGGTCAAAGGCACATAACTGGGTTGTAGGTTTGATTCCCGCCCTGGTCAGGTCATTCAGGAAGCAACCAGTCAGTGCCTCACTCACATTGATGTTGTGCGCACACGCTCTCTCTCTCTCTCTCTCTCTGTTCCTCTCTCTCTCCTTCCCTCCTTTCTACTCTATCTAAACATCAATGGGAAAAATATCCTTGGGTGAGGATTTAAAAAAACACAAACACCTAAACTATATGGAGATTCCAGGTTGGAAAACATATGCAGGTAATGGGAAGCTGCCTTGCCTGGAGAGGAGGTTGAAAGCCCTTGCCCTTTCACTCACACCTTGCCCTATGCTCTCCTCCATTCTGCTGTTCTCAGTATCTTTTAGAGTAAATCAAACCAAATGTCAGTAAAGTGTTTTCCTGTTACATGAAAAGTTGTAATTATTCAATGTGGCGGGCCACTGAGCCAAGGTCTTTTATTTCTGTGGTGTTTACACAGACTCGCCCAGGAGCTTCTGGTGCCAGGGACGAGGCCCTGTGGTGTTTGCAGGGTCTCGCCCAGGGGCCTTTAGTCCCAAGGCCACTTGTTGATCCTGCGTGCTGGCAAAGCCCACACAGGAATATTCTGCCCAAGATCTCTTGTTGTTCCTGTGTGCTGGCAAGGCCCACAGAGGAACTGAGTCGAAGGCAAGAATGTATGACAGTCTGGAACTTGAACTTGGAGGCTGAGGGTAACATTTGGTGTTTGAGTACATTGAAGCTTTTGAACCTCCCTGCCCCACCCCCCCTTCAATTGGCTATATAATAAACTGGCTGAGCTAGTTCAGGGTCACTGTTTCTCCATCAGAGAGCAGTGTCTCACCCGGCCCCAGCTTTTCTCTCAATAGTGTCTCTGTTTTTCTCAGTCTCCCATCATCCCTCCTCAGGTCTGGTTTGACTAGCACGCAGGTCGTGGCAATTCAACCCCCCAAAAGACTATAGAACCTCCAATTTGTAGCCAAGTTATAAGTATAGGTACTTTGGGCACTCGATACCTGGCATTTGAAGTGGGGGCATTTTGAGAAACTGAGCCCTTATATTTGTGGATTATGAGAATACGGTAGACAGTTCGTATCTGGAGAGTTGGAGAACTGGTTGGTTGTTGGTGTGGAAAAACCACACTTTGGTGGCAGAAGTGTTGGGAGTAGAAACAGATCATAGTAATGCTTATCATGTAACATGATTCTCATGTGATAGCCATCAGAGATATAAGACATACACTGAAAGCTAACAGAACCTTGCATGGTTACATATGATATTCCAACATAAATCACAGAGTATGAATTCTATGAGTCATGTATTCCTCACCCAATTTTTCCCAGATTTCTCCAGATTGATCCATTCTCAATTTAAACTCTTCTACTTAGTTGTACTCATTTAAAAAGACAAACCCGCCCTGGCCAGTTTGGCTCAGTGGTTTGAACGTCGGCCCGTGGACCAGACAGGCCCTGGTTCGGTTCCCACTAACGGCACATACCTCGGTTGCAGTTTGTCTCCAGCCTGGCTGAGGTCATGTGGGTGGCAAGCACTCGATGTCTCTCTCTCACGTCGATGCTTCTCTCTCACTCTCTCCTCCACCTTCTCTCCCTCCAGCTCTATCTCAAGATAAATGCGAAAATGTTCTCAAGTGAGGATTAATAAATAAATAAATAAATAAATAAATAAATAAATAAATATTCTTTAAAAAGGATAAATCTACTGGGAAATAAAAGAAACCAAAAGCTACCTGGGCCTCAGTCCTTTTCTTCTGATTTTGGGAAATGTCTGTTAATGGGATTCTCTGGCTTGAGCTCTCCTGAATCAACATCACCTATCTGTTAAAAAATGTTTCCAGCCCTGGCCAGTTTGGCTCAGCGGTTAGAGCGTCGGCCTGCGGTCCGGAGAGACTCGGGTTCGGTTCCCGCTAAGGGCACGTACTTCGGTTGCAGTTTGTCCCCGGCCCTGGTTGGTCGTGCGGGTGGCAGCCACTCGATGTGTCCCTTCACGTCGATGTTTCTCTCTCTCTCTCCCTCCCACTCTATCTGTACAAAAAATGGAAAATATCCTCGGGTCAGGATAAAAAAAAAAAAAAAAAAATGTTTCCAGTCCTGGCTGGTGTGGCTCAATGGATAGAGTGTCAGACCAAGCACCAAAGGGTCTTGGGTTCAATCCCTAGTCAAGGGCATATTCCAGTGTTGCAGGTTTGATCCCTGGCCCTGGTCGGGGTCATGCGGGAGGAAACCAATCTGTGTCTCTTTCACATCAATGTTTCTCTCTCTCCCCCTCCCATTCTCCCTTCCACCCTCTCTAAAAATCAATGGAAAATAATCCTCAGGTGAGGATTAACAAACACAAACAAACAAAGAGAAAAGAAATGTCATACAGAAAAACAATTATTTTCTGAAATTCGAACACAAATACTGACAGAGAGCCAGATGGGATATATTGTGAGGAACTAAAAGGCATGGTGCGGTCACATCCACTTGCTTTAGGGATGCCTAATATCTCCCTTCCATGTTTCCTTTACACCTATCTAAATAATTTTTGCTCTAACTGCTGTGTAAAAACACCAGGACTCTTATTCATTCTAAGAGCTTTGCTTCCCATGAAGTAAATACTGTTTTTTTGTTTGTTTTTTTTTAAAATACATATTAGCTCATGTCATTCTTCCAATTTTTTAATTTATTTTTTATTTTTTTGAAGGTATATTTTTGAAAGGGTTAGTATAATATTTTATTTTTTTCCCCTCACCTGAGGACATTTTTCAATATTTTGTTCAGATAGAGTGGGAGGGAGGGAGAGAGAGAGAAACATTGACGTGAAAGGGACACATTGAGTGGTTGCTACCCACACAACCCAACCAGGGCTGGGGTCATACTGCAACCGAGGTACGTGCCCTTAGCGGGAACCGAACCCGGGTCTCTCCAGACCGCAGGCTGATGCTCTAACCGCTGAGTAAAACTGGCCAGGGCCTTCCTATTTAAAAAAAATTTTTTTTTATTTTATTGATTTTTAGGGAGAGAGATAGAAACATCGATGAGAGAGAACATCGATTGGTCGCTTCCTGCATGCCCCCCCACAGAGGATCTGGCCCACAACCTGAGCATGTGCCCTGACCAGGAATCGAACTGGTGACCTCTTGGTGCATGGGTCGATGCTCAACCACCGAGCCACACTGGCCAGGCAAGACTGTGTTTTATTCAGCTTTTGAATGAAACTTAGTGCCTTTATGGCACTTGTTAGATATGGATTTTTGTCATTTTCAGAGAATGATTTACAAATGGAATCTGTAGCATTTTACTAACATGTTTTTGATGAAGGTGGGTATTAATCTTGCTGCTGAATTAAGTGAAAGCAAGACACACTTTAAAAACATGCCAATAGCCCTGGCTGGTTTGGTTCAGTGGTTAGAGCATTGTCCTGTGGCCCAGAGAGACCCAGGTTCGGTTCCCGCTAAGGGCACGTACCTCAATTGCAGTTTGTCCCTGGCCTTGGTTGGTCGTGGACGTGTCCCTTTCATGTCGATGTTTTTCTCTCTCTCTTTTCCTGTCTCTCCCTCCCACTCTATCTGAACAAAAAATAGAAAAAAAAAAATGTCTTGGGTGACGATAAAAAATAAAAATAAAAAATAAAAAGTGTACTTGCCCTGGCCAGTTTGGCTCAGCAGAGAGTTGGCCTGCAGATCAATGAGCCGCAGGTTCAATTCTGGTAAAGGGCATGTACTTTGCCCCGGACCTGGTCAGGGTCATGCAGCCAGTAGATATCTCTGTTGCATCGATGTTTCTCCCCACTACCCCCACCCTATCTGAAGATAAATGAAAAAAAAACGTCGGATAAGGGTTTAAAAACAAAAGTAAAGCCCACAGGTGTGGATCAGAGGACTGAGCATCGTCCCAGGGACTGAGGTCCCAGTTCAATTCCCAGACAGGGCACATGCCTGGGTTGTGGGCTCAATCCACAGTGGGGGATGTGCAGGAGGCAGCTGATTAATGTATCTCTCTCATATTGATGTTTCTCTCTCCCTAAAGTCAATAAAACATTTTTTTAAAATGTGTACTTGTACCTCTCTGCTATCTAAATTTTGGAGTAAAGAACTTAGTTGTGGCCCAGTGTGCTGCCCACTAAGGTGAGGGTTTGTCTTGAAAAAAGTTCTTTCCAACCCAAAGGTCCCTGGTGTAGACAAGAGGTCTGGAAAGGAGAATGTGGGTCCAGAATACATTTAGGGACAAGGGAAGACATGGGAGAGCCAATGTCTCATACAGACAGTTGGGACATGGAGGACAGAATCACACAGGCAGTGTGGGCCCTGTGTATGGAAGAGAGGTGAACAGTCACCCAATGAGACCAGGATCCTGGAGGTCTTCGGCTTCACTTCTGAATATATGGTCCCAGAATTCACTGCCGTTTGTCCCTCATTCTTTTAAAGGGTAAAAAGCTGGGATAGTTTCCTAAGGAGAGTATTGTACAGCCGATCATGTTTTGAAGTCATAAATATTGGGCTTTTCGGATGCTGGACCTGGAAGTTTCACGTAAATCCCTATTCCAAATGACTGGACACTGAATCCGTTTGCTGAGGATACTGTGCTTCTATGCTCCTGCTCTGGTTGCTTATGCAGACCACCAGCACACCCACTGGTAAGCAAGGCAGGGTGGCCTCACTGTCTGCCCTCCCTGGCTCCAGACTCCCACCCAGCAGGGGCTCATCCTTGAGACCAAGATGGCAACTGTGGCTCCCAGAAGTCATGACATGCAATGCCAGCATGTACACGGTGTCCCCCTCCCTGTGCAGTCTCAGAGTCCTGGCAGCAGGACGAGGGAGGCCCACCCAGTGGATACTAGACTAGAGAGCACAATTCTGCTCTGGGGCCAGTTGTCCCCTTTCTGTAGGGTGAATGTCAGTGCCACATACAAACATCCCTCGAAGAGTTAAACTGAGGCATCAAATCCACCACAGTAGATGGGATCACAGCCTGACACCCAAAAGGTGGGTAAAGGTACAGACATCCAGCCCAAATTCAGGGACAAACTTTGTGCTGGGATCAAAGGAGAAGCAGAAATATTGTAGCTTTCTCAAAGAACATTTCCCTGGGAAAACCACTGGAGACAACAGATGATGTTCCCGTGAACACTAGGGGGCAGAGCATTTGTGCTCCAACATTTTAGAATAGTGGAAAATCATGATAATTTCAACAATGAAAGCAGCAGCTTCAGCTGAGCCTCCCTGTTCTTCACAGTGTACATGCCCCAGTGAGAGCTTCACAGAAGTGTAGAAATTTTTCCTGGCCCTGGTGCCAGAATCCAGGTTGAAATCCAGCCTCTTAAATCTAACACATTTCTGTTTTGTAAACTTGGAGAAACTACTTCGTTTCTCTAATCCTGGGTGTTCCCAACAATTCAATATTTGTTTCCTCTTCCAGGTTATTATATGAATTCAACGAGAAAATGCTGCCGTGGCCATGTGGCTCAATTGGTTGAAGCATCATTCCACACACCAAAAGGTCACCAGCTTGATTGCCAGTCAAGAGCACGTACCTGGTTTGAAGGTTTGAACCCTGGCCCTGGAATGAGTATATGTTGGAGGCAACCAATCAATGTGTCTGTCGCATTGATGTTTCTCTTTCCCCCTCATTCTTCCTCCCTTCCACTCTCTCTAAAAATCACGGGAAAAAATGTCCTTGGGTGAGGATTTGAGGATTAAGACAAAAAAAAAAATATATATATATATATTTAATTTTATAAATCACTTGATGTTACTTATAAATTTGGTTAAACACATCCAAATACTGTTTTCCTTATGAAATGAATACATTGTTTCATTTTCAAGTATTTAAAATATTCTGAAGTAACACAAAGTATAAAGGAAATGTAAAAGTTCATTACAAAATGAAATATGCATTGACCACTCCTGCATTATATATATTAAAATTTACTCCACTGTGAGAGCAAGTGTCAGTTTAAAACTTATAAAATCAATGGCAAGGCAACTAGAAATATGGCTGAAGGTATCCTGGCCCCAACAGCTTGTGAGGTATGTGTTAGTCTTGTGAAAGAATACTTTTCCATTCAACACTTCTTTCCTTGATTATGTTACCTGAGGTTTTGCTAACGACCATCAAATAGACTGCTTAGCATGGATTTCCTGGGAAATGATGAAGCAATATAAATTACTGGAAACAGTGCCATATTTACTGCCAGAAGAAACAACTTCTCTAGTATAAACTAACATCTATTGATGTCTTACTTCTCAAAATATGCTTTCCCACAATTAAAAATATTCATTCAGCCCTGGCTGGTTTGGCTCAGCGGTTAAGAGCGCCGGCCTGTGGTCCAGGGAGACCCGGGTTCGGTTCCCGCTAAGGGCATGTACTTCAGTTGCAGTTTGTCCCCAGCCCTGGTTGGGTAGTATGGGTGGCAACCACTTGGTGTGTACTTTTCACATCGATGTTTCTCTCTCTCTCTCTTCCTCCCACTCTATCTGAACAAAAAATGAAAAAATGTCCTCAGGTGAGGATAAAAAAAAAATTCATTCATTCATTCATAATCTCTGATGATCACGTATAATAGGGTCTACCTCCCACTAAAGTTTCCTAGTCCATCACATTACATTTATAGGATTTATCTCAGGATATACTTTTTAGACATATAATGTTCTAAAATATTTTCATCAAGGCTGACTGTATCTGAGTTGCTTTGTTAATTTTTAAATATAAAATATGAGGTAGCCCGGCCAGTTTGATTCCTGGTCAGGGCACATGCCCAGGTTGTGGGCCCAATCCTCAGTGGGGGACATGCAGGAGGTGGCTAATCGATGTTCTCTCTCAGCAATGATTCTATTTCGCCATCTCCTTTCCTCTCTCTCAAAACATCAAAAAAAAAATTTTTTTTAAATGAGGTAATTGGTCAATAAATACAGCACTACATTCTGTGCATTAAGTTATTCTTCACTGCAGATTATCATCTTGAGGGCCTACAAGTGACTACTTGTAAATTCTATGTTTGATAAGAATTTACAAGTGGACAAAAGCTTTCTCACAATCGCTGCCCTCATAGGGCTGCCCCTCTGTATAAACATTGATTCCTGACTTCTTACTGAAGGCTTTCTCATATTTATTACATTCATAGGGTTTCTCTCCCATCAATTCTGATGAGTAATGAGAGCATTTTTGCACAATGAGAATTTTTCACATTAAGTGTACGCAAAGGAAGTCTTTCCTCAGCAAAATCTGATGTACGAGGCTCTTCTTCTTAGATACTTCACTACATTTATTGCATCTGTATGGCTTCTCTGCTGTATGAGTTTGTTAAAGCCCTTTTCATTGCTTATATAGTTTATCTGCATATGAACTTGCAGATGTGCAATGAGCATGCTTTTTCCAGTTTAGCCTTTGACACATTCATCCCATATATAGGGTTTTTCTCCCATATAAGTGCACCAATGTACATTGAGATGACTCTTCACAGTGGAGCCTTTTTCATATTCAATACACATATGTAGCTCCTCTGAAGTATAAGTTCGCTAATGTGCAGGAAGATCACTCTTCGTGGTAAAGCCCTTTCTGTGTACTCTACATATATAGGGCTTCTCTCCTCTATGTGTTCACTGTTGTCAGCTTAAAGGGCTCTTCAAGGTGAAGCCTTTCTTACATTCACTACAATATATAAGGTTTTTCCCCTGTATGAATCCGTTGATGGACAATCAGCTTGTTCTTCACTGGGAAGCCTTTTCCACATTCATTGCATACATAGGGTTTCTCTCCCGTATGAGTGCGCTGATGTACACTGAGTTTATACTTCTGAGTAAACCCTTTGCCACATTCATTGCACATATAAGGTTTCTCAGAAGTATGAGTTTGCTGATGTACAGTGAGACCACCCTTCATGCTGAAGCCTTTGCCACACACACTACATATATAGGGCTTCTCTCCTGAATGTGCTCGCTGATGTCTGATGAGAGGGCACATCCAGGGAAAGCCTTTCCCACACTCATTACATACATAAGGTTTATCTCCAGTATGAATTCGCTGATGCACAATGAGGCAGTGCTTCATGGAGAAGCCTTTCCCACATTCACTGCATATATACGGTTTCTCTAACGTATGAGTCCTTCGATGTACAGTGAGATCAGTCTTCATGGTAAAGCCTTTTCCACACACACTACATACATAGGGTTTCTCTCCTGTGTGTGCTCGCTGATGTCTGATGAGAGTGTTCTTCCAGGTGAAGTCTTTCCCACACTTGTTACATATGTAGGGTTTCTCTCCAGTATGAGTTCGCTGATGTAGGATGAGGCCACGTTTCACTGAAAAACCTTTTCCACATTCAGTGCATATATAAGGTTTCTCTCCAGTATGAGTTTTCTGATGGGTAGTGAGACTAAACTTGGTAGAGAAGGTCTTCCCACATAGACTGCATCCATGAGGTTTCTCTCCTGTATGAGTATTCTGATGGTTAGTGAGACAAAACTTTGTAGTGAAGGTCTTCCCACACAGACTACATCCATGGGGTTTCTCTCCTGTATGAGTTTTTAGATGGGTAGTGAGACTAAACTTTGTAGAGAAGGTCTTCCCACAGAAACTGCATCCATGAGGTTTCTCTCCTGTATGAGTTCGCTGATGATAAATGAGCCGAGACTTTTTGATAAATGCTTTCCCACATTCACTACATGTATAAGGTTTCTCTCCCATGTGAGTTTTCTGATGTATATTGAACTGTGATGTCTTGAGGAAGGTTTTGTCACATTCAGTGCATTCATACTGTTTCAGTCTTGTATGAATTGTTTGATGTTCAGTGAGCCTGGATTTTCTGAAGAAGGTTTTACTATACAGACTGCATCCATTTGGCTTTTCTCTAGTATGAACTCTCTGATGATCAGTGAGCTGAGACATCTTGATGAAGGCTTTCCCACACTCAAGGCATACATGGGCTTTCTCTATGTTGTGAGTTCTCTGTTGCTGAATGACATGGGACTTACTGATGGGTCTGGTACTGACAGGCAATTTAATTTCAGTGTAAAATTGTTCACAGTTACCATGCGGAATGGGTGTCCATTCTCCATTCAACTCAACAGAGTTCTTTAAGTTACAAGTTCTGTTTTGGTTTTCAAAACTTAAATTTGATTTTAAAGATTTCTCGGGTATCTCAAACATATCACGATTTTGCTTTAATAGGAAATGACCTTCATTCTGATTAACCATATTTGCAAACCTATTACGTTGACAGCATTGTTCCACACTCTTCTCAATGCTTGGACTTTGCAAGTGATACTGCAGAGGATCATCAACTTTATTGACTACTAGGAAAGAAGAGGAACAGTGAATCATTCCATAATCTCCCATAACCTTAGTTTGAAATAAAACTGTTTTTACAAAATGCTTTCATGTGAAGCAACTATTTAGTGCCCATCCTCTGTATTAGTTTAAGAAATATATCTGGTCTTTGTCCATAGTACTTGACAATGAGGTTGTAAAACCCTTGCCATTTCCTAAGTGACAGGAGTACCTAGTCCTATAAATAAAAAAACTTTTAAAAAACATTTCCTTTGTTTTTAATCCTTACTTCAGAGCATGCGTACTGATTTTAGAGAAACACTGATGTGTTGCTTCCTCAACAGGGTACCTGCAACCCTTCTGTGCAGGGAACAAAGCTTCAAAGAACTATGCCACCAGGCCAGGGCAAAAAAAAAAACAACCAACTTTCTTATAACAGCTGAGTTTATGCTAGTAAGGTGACTTAGCACAGGGTTCCTACAAAGTCTCAGGATAGATCTAGTCAATAGAAAGAAAAACTGATTAGAAAATTGGACTTCCAGCCCCACCCACTGATCTCTGAGAAAAGAGGGAGGCCTAGACATTAGAGCTCTATCAGAAATATATTTTTTAACAGATTTTGTTTTCCTTTATTAATCTTAGAGAGGAAGTGAGAGGGAGAGATAGAAACATCGATGAAATTTTTTAAAAGAAAATAAACATTTATTATCTGTTTCCATAAATCAGAAGTCCAACCATATACTAACTGGGTCCTTTTCTCAAGGTCTCAAGACTATGTGAAAATGTCAGTCATGTTTGGGATCTTAACTGGAGCCGGGGCCCCCTTCCAAGCTCACTGATTGTGGGCAGGATGTAATTCCTATGATTGTGGGGCCTGAGGCCCTCAGATCTCAGAGTCAGCATGTTGTATCCTGATCAGGAGACCCTCTCCAAAACATAGCACTTTGCTTTAAGGATAATAGAAGAGCACCTCTGCTATTTCTGCTTCTTGTCTCTTAACTTTAGACACCTAATTAGGTAAAATGATTTATCAGTTTTCTTTAAAATATGTTTCTATTGATTTCTTTTTAGAGAGAGAGGAAAGGAGAGAGAGACAGAAATGTTGCTATGAGAGAGAAAACATTGACTGGTTGCCTCCTGCATGCTTCCCACTGGAGATCGGGCCCACAACTTGGGTATGTGCCCTGACAGGGAATTGAACCTGCAACCTCTTGGTGCATGTGTTGACACTCAGTCACTGAACCACACCAGCCGGGCTAATTTAGTATGTTTCATGCCACCCCTGAATTTTTTTGTATGTACCTTTTATCTTTGATCATTTTAATCTGTATTATTAAACTGTAACAAATTGTACCCGAGTATAATAGTACACTCCCCTCCCTAATACTGTCTACCTTCTACACCATAAAGTGGTCCATTATAAAAATTAGTTATATAATGTCACTCCTCTACTCAAAATTCCTCATCAGTGTTTAAACTCACTTGGAATCAAAGTAAAGTCTTGAATGGCCTGAAGAAGCAATGTGTGACCTATGTCTTAGAACCTCTAGCTTACGCCATTGTCCTTATCTGCAGTTGTTTTCCCTCTTGCTCATGTCACTCCATCCAGACTTCCTAGTAGGTCCTTAAACACATTCCATATTCAGTTCTTTGAACTTCCTATAATCTCACATTTGAAAAACTCCAGGGAGCTGACACATCGCTTATCTATGTGCTGAAAGTCACCTCATTAAAGAGCAATTCACGCTCCTAAAAGAGCACCTCCAGGACAAACACCCACGGTTCATTGGCTGCATTAATTTTCCTTCCAGAAATTTTTACCCTAGAATAAGTTTATTCTTGATTATACAAGACTTCTACTGAGAATAAAAGCAATGTGCAGAGTAGGGACAAGGTCTATATTTTTTTTAATCCTCACCTGAGGACAATTTCCCATTTTTTGTTCAGATAGAGTGGGAGGGAGAGAGGGAGCGAGACTCATCGATGCAAAAGGGACACATCGAGTGGCTGCCTCCCGCATGACCCAACCAGGGCTAGGGACAAACTGCAACGGAGGTAGGTGCCCTCAGTGGGAACCGAACCCGGGTCTCTCTGGAGCACAGGCCGACACTCTAATAGTTAAGCCAAACTGGCCAGGGCACAAGGTCTATTTCTTTTAAATCTTTTTTTGCACTGCTATTAGCTTTGAAAATATCAGGCTATCAAAATGCAAGTTTTAAGAAAACACAGCAATCGCATAAATTGTAGGAGGTAATCAGAGGCATAGAACACTTAGGAGTCCTTAGAAAGAGGACAGAAACTTTCTAATCAGGATAATAGCATATCACGGAGATCACTGAAAGAGCAACTGCAATTGCACATGACAGGAAAGTTGGTTACCTGGGCCTAAGTGTCATGAGAATATGATGGGAAAGCAATCAATTTTATTTTTATTTTTCCATTTTTAAAAAATTTTTTTTTGTTCAGATAGATGGGAGGGAGAGAGAGGAAGAGAGAGAGAGAGAGAGAGAAACATCAACGTGAAAGGGACACATCGAGTGGCTGCCACCCGCACGACCAACCAGGGCCGAGGACAAAATGCAACTGAGGTACATGCCCTTAGTGGGAACTGAACCTGGGTCTCTCTGGACCGCAGGCTGATGCTCTAACCGCTGAGCAAAACTGGCCAGGGCTCAATTTTATTTTTATATCTTAAAATTATATAGGGTGTTCCAGAAAAATGTATATACAACTTTGAATAATTATAAAGCCAGTGTTTATTAAAATAACCATTCATTTTCAAAATATAATAGAATCTACAGACACCCTATATACATTTATTTGAGACACTCTGTATAATGGAAAGAATGCAATCAAGAAAACAATTCCAGCCTGGCCAGTTTGGCTCAGTGGACTGAGTGTTGTCCAATGAACAAAGAGTTTCCAGTTCAATTCCCAGTCCGGGCATATGCCTAGGTTGCGGGTTCAATCCCCAGTAGGGTGTGTGTAAGGAGGCTGCCAATCGATGTTTCTGTCTCACATCAATGTTTCTATCTCTCTCTGCCCTTCTCTTTCTCTAAAAAAAAACCAATAACAACATAGGAAAAAAAAAAAAAGAATTCCATTTACTACATGATAAGAAAGAATATCATACTTAAGAAAAAATTTAAGGAAAGTATAAACCTTTTTCTTTTTAAATCCTCACCCGAGGACATTTTTGAATTTATCTTCAGATAGAGTGGGAGGAAGTAAGGGAGAGAGAAAAACATCGATACGAGAGAGACACATAGACTGGCTGCCACCCACATGACCCCAAGGTCCAGGGACCAACTGCAACCGAGGTACGTGCCCTTAGTGGGAAGCAAACCCGAAACTCTCTGGTCCACGGGCCGACGCTCTAACCGCTAAGCTAAACCGGCCAGGGCAGAAGGTATAAAACTTTAAATTCTCAAACTTATAAAATGTGGGAAGAAATGAAAGACCAAATTAGATGGATAAACACCCAATACTTCTGGATTAGAACGTATAATATGGTTAAGAGAGAATTCCTACCAAATTGAAATACAGATTCAATGTAATCCCTATCAGAAACCAACCTGGGCCCTGGCTGGTTTGGCTCAGTGGTTAGAGCGTCAGCCTGCAGTCCAGAGAGACCTGGGTTCAATTCCTGCTAAGGGCACATATCTCGGATGCAGTTTGTCCCCAGCCCTGATTGGGGTCGTGTAGGTGGCAGCCACTTGATGTGTCTCATTCATGTCGATGTTTCTCTCTCTCTCTCCCTCTCTCTCCTTCCCACTCTATCCGAACAAAAAATGGAAAAATGTCCCCGAGGATTAAAAAGAAAAAAAAAAACCAACCTGTTCTTTGTATGTGTGCTTTTTCCCCCTACAAATTCACAACCTGATTCTAAATTTCCAATGAAAATTAAAAGACCCAGAAGTCACCCTGGCCAGTCTGGCTCAGCGGTTAGAGCGTTAGCTTGCGGTCCAGAGAGACCTGTGTTTGGTTCCCGCTAAGGGCATGTACCTCGGTTTTAATTTTCCCCGGCTCTGGTTGGGTCCCGTGGGTGGCAATCACTCGATGTGTCCCTTTCACATCGATGTTTCTCTCTCTCTCTCTCTCCCTCCCACTCTATGTGAACAAAAAATGAAAAAATGTCCTCGGCTGAGAATAAAACAACAACAACAAACCCCAGAAGTCAAAACTGTCTTCAAAGAGAAGAACAGAGTTGGCAGATTCACCTTTTCCAATTTTGAAACATAATACAAAGCTATAGAAATCAAGGCCATGATGAAAATATGTACAACCCTGGCTGGTTTGGCTCACCAGTTAGAGCATTGGTCTGATAACGGAAAAGTCTCTGGTTCAATTCCTGGTCAAGGGCATGTACCATGGTTGCAGAATTGAACTGGGACCTCTCAGTTCATGGAATGATGCTCAATCCACTAAGTCAAACTGGCTGGGCCTTTTTTCCATTATACAGAGTGTCCCAAATGAATGTATACAGGATGTCTGTAGATTCTATTACATGTTTCAAATGAACAGTATTTTAATAAACAAATGGATGCAGGTTTGATCTCCAATCCCTGTTGGGGATGTTCAGAAGGCAACCAATTGATGTGTCTCTCTCACATCAATGTTTCTCTCTCCCTCCCTCCTTCTCTCTCTCCCACTTTATCTAAAAAGCAATGGAAAAATATCCTTGGGTGATGATTTAAAAAAAAAATGTACATGTAAAATTTTTCAAAATTGATTGTGGTAATGGTCACATTTCTATATGAATGAACTAAAAACCAATTAACTATATAATTTAACTGGGTAAATTGTATGGTATGTGAATTAAATCTAAGTAAAACCACTAAAAGTATGATATGAAAACAAAAGCTATAGAAAAATAAATACAGTGATAATATCTAAGAATGAAGAAAAATTTGAACTACGAAACTAGGAAGAACGCCACTTGAAGCAGATGTTTAGGCTGGAACTGTTGTACCATGTTAAAAAGATATTTTCTTATTCATTAAATGAAATAGTAGAGAGGTCGGCATGTAGAAGACATCCCAGGTGATACCAAGATGAATAGAATTTAAAATATCTAGTGTGGTAAGAGAAACTAAATTTTAAAAAGAATGGAAAAAAGATGATTCCTTTTCTCACACACAAAATAAGAACAGGCCAGCTGCCACGATGATGGGTAAAATACACAGGAAACAAGCATACATTGTACTGTATTGATAGACAAGTTAATTTGGGAGTTAATTTCACAGAACAGAAAGAGGTTAACTCATGGGAATACAAGAAACTTTGAAAAGTGATAAGAACTGAGTACTAAGGCCCGAGAAGGGAGAGGAGCAAAAAGCAACATAAATGCACCCTCATTATTTAAAGAAAAGATTAAGCCCTGGCCAGTGTGGTCTAGGTTGGTTGAGCGTCATTCTATGAGCCAAAGAGCGGCTGGTTCGATTTTAGTTTGATCCCCAGTGGAGGGCATGTGCAGGAGGCAAGCTACTGATGTTTCTCTCTGACATCAACGTTTCTCTCTCTCCCTCTACCTTCCTTCCTCTCTAAAATCAATAAAAACATATTTAAACCCTTTAAGAAATAAAGAAAACAGAAAGAGGGAAGATTTTAAAGGCAGACAATAACAGACATTCAGGATAGGTAGAGTTCACAGTGATATAACATAATCTCATCAACTAAGGAGAAATTAGCTCCAAATAGTATGAGGAAGACAGTTTGTGGGATACAAGCAAAGGAAGCAGGATATCCTTAGACCTTGAGGGGAGCCAGAAAGACCATGTGTATTTTTCCCCCAAGAACATGGTCACCAATAGGAATGGTTGGTGATGAGACAGAAGGTATAAATGCACCATGACAAGCAGGTTATCATGAGGACACAGCATCCAAGATGGCGTTGTTTATTACAAGGAAAAATCACTATTTCCTAACAGGGCGTGAAGGCCTTGTAATAAGAAAAAAGTGATGAAATGAAAGTTCTGTCTTTCCAAAAAGGCATGGAAATTGGAATTCCTTAATAAGAGAGGTAGTAACACAGGCAGAGAAACTGTGACTGTGGACAAATAGAGGAAGATCTTAGAATCCTAGGAGAAAGCAAACTGTGCAAACAAAAACAAGATGTTGGTAAAATAACTGGGGTATGAGCTCAGAAATAAAAGTGGGGGTACGTTTTCCTCTAAGCTTCTAAAAAAAAGGGGGTTCTCATCTGTGAAGGGGTGGGTTGAATTTCCTCTGTCACTGTCACCGCTCTGACGTCTGCTCTAATGAGAATGTGACTTCCCGGCTGCCCACCGTGCTGGTTCACAGCCCCTCACCTGCACAGACTAGACTGTGGAGTTCCTCTTGTACTGTCCACAGTTCTTCCCCTTGTTCTAACTTGGAGAGCGCTTCTGGTTTGCTGGCTCGGTACCCTGTTAATGAAAAACAAAAGACAGAGACATACTGAATTGTGCTGGGGTCTGTCAAGAACGGAGAATGTTACATTTCATGGAATGAACAGCTTTCACATCTGTAACACACAGACTTCTCTCGGAGAGGGGACATTATACCTTTCTGTGTGGGGCGAGAGAAGGATCTGAAATTTGACCATTTCAGAGAATTACAGTTATTCAGAAGAGCGAAGCAGCTGAGAAAAAAACAAAACAAAAAAAAACTAACATGGTGACACAGGGGGACTGTCCTCACCCACTGACTCCAGGTGGCTGAAGTTCTCCAACATCACATCCCTGTACAGGTTCTTCTGATGGGGGTCCAGGAGCTGCCACTCCTCCCAAGTGAAGTTCACGGCCACATCGTGAAAAGTCAGGGATTCCTGTAATGACACCATTCTGTTTATTGGTGATGTCCTTTAGATGTTATGTTAACGTAAGAAACATTCAAAACTGCAAGAATTTTTGTGAGTTTATTGATGCCAAAGTAACAACTGCTAGGAAAGTGTGGCCCATTTCATACACACCAGTGCTTAACAATAACACATATAAATATATATTTTTATCCTCACCCTAGGACATTTTTGCATTCATCTTCAGATAGAGCGAGAGGGAGAGAGAGAGAAACATCAATGTGATGGAGACACATCGACTAGCTGCCACCCACACAACCCCAACCGAGGCTGGGGACAAACTGCAACCAAGGTATGTGCCCTTAGCAGGAACCGAACCTGGGTCTTTTTTGGACCACAGGCTGACGCTCCAACTGCTGAGCCAAACTGGCTAGGGCCACACATACACTTTTCAGATTAATGAAGGTGGCTTTTTGTAGGCCTCAACAAATCCATTAATGAAGAAAGGAAAAGGCCCAGTCGGTATGGCTCAGTGGTTGAACGTCGACCCATGCACCAAGAGGCTGCCAGTTTAATTCCCAATCAGGGCCCAGGCCCAGGATGTGGGCCAAATCCCCAGTGGGGGGCATGATGGGGGCAGCCAGTCAATGTTCTCTCTCATCGCTGTTTCTATCTCTCTCTCCTTCTCCCTTCCTCTCTCTAAAAATCAATAAAGAAAAAAAAAAACTTAAAAAAGAAAGAATAAAACAAATCACCTGAAACAGGAGCATTTTCTTCTGTTCTCTAGAATGAGCTGGCGATGGGGCAGCTCTGTCTCGGTGTGTTCTGGGTCTGCTCTAAATTTCTGTTCAGAAATCTTCAAAAGAATAAATATAAAAAATAAGAAGTCCATCTTTAGTCAAGTGTGTCCCCTGGGAATGCTAATAACCAACCCTGTAACTTTTTTATTCTTCACATGTTCTACTGACTATGTCTAAACATGTAGAATTTTTATGATTTTATTTGAGTCGAAGAGACAAAGAATGCTGGAAGCAAAATAATAATGAATTGAGAAAATTGTGGAGGGCGGCTGAGCCAAGGTCTCTTGTTCCTGTGGTGTTTGCATGGATTCGCCCAGGAGCTTCCAATACCAGGAACAAGGCCCTGTGGTGTTTGCAGGGTCTCGCCCAGGAGCCTTTAGTCCCAAGGCCACTTGTTGATCCTGTGTGCTGGCAAGGCCTACGCAGGAACATTATGCCCAAGATCTCTTGTTGTTCCTGTGTGCTGGCAAAGCCCACACAGGAGCCTCCTGAGCTGCGGGTAAGCATGTATGGACAGTCTGGACCTTGAGCTCAGAGGCCTATGGAAATATTTGGTGTTTAAAAACAATGAAGCTTTTGAACTCCCCCCCTTCAATTGGCTATGTAATAAACATGCTGAGCTAGCTCGGAGTCACTTTCTCCATCAGAGAGCAGTGTCACATCTGGCCCCAGCTTTTCCCTCTAGAATGTCTCTGTGTATTTTTTTTTTTTTTTTATTCAGGTAGAGTGGGAGGGAGAGAGAGGAACAGAGAGAGAGAGGGAAACATCGACGTGAAAGGGACACATCGAGTGGCTGCCACCCGCACGACCGACCAGGGCCGGGGACAAACTGCAACCGAGGTACGTGCCCTTAGCGGGAACCGAACCCGGGTCTCTCAGGACCGCAGGCCGACGCTCTAACCGCTGAGCCAAACCGGCCAGGGCGTGTCTCTGTGTATTTCTTAGTCTCTGTGTTCTTCTCAGTCTCCTGTCACCCCTCCTCAGGTCTGGTTCAACTAGTTGCACAGGTTGTGGCAGAAAATGGTCCAGAGATTGGCAGTTTTGCACCTTATTTTATACATTAGAATAAAAGGAGAAGACATAAGGCGGTTACATGAAATCCAATGGTGACAGATTAGGGAGATGGGAGAAAGCAAACTGGGAAATCTCTGAGATAGGATAAAATGTAAAATGAATTGCCTGGCCAGTGGTTTAGTGAATTAATTGAGTGTCGTCCCATGGACTGAGAGGTCCTGATTCTAGACCTGGTTCGATTCCCAGTCAGGTCGCATGCCCAGGATTCAGCTCAATCCCCAGTAAAGGGCGAGCAGGAGGCAGCCAACTGATGTTTCCCTCTCATCAATTTTTCTATCTCTCCTTCCTCTCTCTCTCTAAAAAAAAAAAAAATCAATAAAAACATTTTTTTCTAAAACATAAACTGAAGACACATAGTTGTTTTAATTAGGTGAGTATAGGCTAATAAACAAACAATTAACACAATAACAATGACCAGCTCTGTGTTTTCCTGCTCTGGTGGGAGATTGTTCTCTGGGAAAAAGGAAATTATCCTCACATTCCAAAGGTGTTTCTCTAGATGCAGAAAGACAATGGGCAGGCTTGGTTAGGATAAAGATTGACCTTTGCCAAGGAAGATACTGGTCTAGGACATAACTACCCACCATGACCTGCTTTTATTTTTATTTAAAAAAAAATTTTTTTTCCTTTATTGATTTTTAGACAGAGAGGAAGAAAGAAGGAGAGAGAGACAGAAACATGACAGAGAACATTGACTGGCAGACACCTGCATGTCCCCCACTGGGGATTGGGCCCATAACCTGGGCATGTGTCCTGACTGGGAATTGAACCGGCGACCTCTTGGTGCATGGGTTGATGCTCAACCACTGAGCCACACCAGCCAGACCATGACTTGCTTTTAGTTAGAAACTTTTAATTTCATACCATACTAAGTGGTTACTTGTGGTTTGTTAAGGCCCACCATGCAGGCCTCCCCTGAGCTTTCATGTTTATTAAGTGGCCCCTTTTTGACCACACTGGAGAATCAGAGGCTGTGGGTTGAGGAGAAGAGTCAATGAGTGATACCTGATGCTACAGTGCTCCTGATCACAATGCCAATAGCACCACTGGTGTCCCTGCAAGTATTTATTCTTCAGGCCAACAAAGCCTTAGGTGTTAAATGTGGTGGAGGTAATCCTTTATTCTGTGGAGTTTAGGTGGAGTGACTGTAAAAAAAAGATGAGGAAAATGACAGTGTAGGGGAAAATAATTTTTTCCTTCTTCTACTCTAGGTTCTTTCACTGGTCTAACAATTGATATAATACAGAGTAACAGGGTGAAATAATCAAAAAGTCTAAAAACATGTGTAACTCCGGTATACATGAAAATGACCCAGGAAAATGGAGTAACAGGCCAGATTAGTTGCACCATCACCTGAAATAGGACTACCTAAAGTCAAAGGATGTTGGGGGTGGACAGTTATGGGAGGTTACCAGAAAAAGCACAGTACTCACAGGTAAGGTTGTTGTGCAGATATAAGTCCTGCTTCTTCCACTGATAGTTAAGGTGGGTTAGGTGTAGTGAGAGACACCCTTACATTTGATATTGCCTTTAACAATGTAAATATCTTTCACAATTGGTAACTTCCACTAGGTTTTCTCCCAGGACTGCAGTTTCTTCAAATTGGCCAAAAATAACCAATATCTTGGAAAGGCGTACTCAAGGAATTATGTATTTAAAAATCAAAATTCTCGCAAAAACGACTAACATATTGGCATATATAATTGGCTAGAACTGCACAATGTAACTAAGCTCATTTCAGGATAATTCCATCACTCCAGTGGGAACTGGAACCACCACGGTGGACTAAGACGGACCTGGACTTACTAATACACCGGCATTGGGCCACCTCGCCAGAGGGATAGGCAATAACATAAGGTGGACTTTCTGTTAGCAAAGAAAACGTTGGAATGTAAGTCAGGCAAATAAACAACAGGGCCCGCTGCTACATAGTAGGAGGAGAGAGCAGAAGTTGGCAAACATCCTCTGAAAGAGACACGGGAACATTCTCCCAGGTGCTGACCAAGACGTCCGTGTCACAACGACCCCCTTCTGCCTTTGCAGCACGAAAGCTGCCACACAGGCTGCAGGACAGATGGGCGTTGCTGGCTTAGTCCCCGGGTCTCTGGTGAGTCACATGCTGGATGAAAGGTTAAAAGCAGAGGATTAGAACCAGTGCCCTGGGCCCTCAAGCCGGCTGTCCCAACAGCAACCCAGGTCGTAACCTGAACCAAACACGGGGCCCCCGGGGGTATCCGAAACTTCGCCCTCACAGCCCCTCCGCCCACAGACCCGACCACACGTCCCCACCAACCGGACACCCGCGCCGCCCAACATCACTGCGCGGGGCGCGAACTATGAAATCCCAACCTGAACCTCACCCCGCGATCACCCTGAATGCCTCCCGCATCCCTTACAAGCGGGGTGACCTGCAGGGCCCCATAACCTGACTCTGTGTCTACAGACTTCTCACCTGTGCACCGACCCCCAGGACACCCCAACCGCAGACAGCGGCGTCTGGTTCCCCTCAAATCGCGTCCCCACAGGGTTCCCGGGAACTACTCCCCCCACCTCCCGCTGCGCGCTTCTCCCCTCCCCCTCCGACCCGGTGGTGATTCCCGGCTCCGCGCTGCACCACGTCCACACGTCACCCTGTGAGAAACTAAACTTCTACTGTGACGAAAGACCTTCTGGGGACAGAAGCACACACTGACCCGACTTTCCCCCGACCCGCCAGGAGAGCGCAGACCGGCATTTCCGCGAACCGCTCCGTCTTCTGCACTGGTCCCGCTCCGCCTACGGTGGCCGAGGAGGACCTGGGGTTTCGAATCGCGGCCGACAACGCGGCGGCGCCGTGGGGGCCACCATGCCGCGTCACCCGACTGCCGTACAGCGGTCTGAGCCCAGCTTTGGGGCCAGTAGCCTGTGGTGGCGGGAAAATGAGAACGTACCGAAATTCTGTTTTTCCGGCACTTCCCCTCTTGATGAAGTCAGTACGTGTTTAGAGCTGCGCGAGGCCAACACGGTGCGACCCCGTTGCTTCCCGAGGGCTGGGTGAAGCGCTACTGCAGCCCTGAAGAGTAGGCTCCACTTCACATATAGGTAACGAAAAATGTCCCCAACTGCATAACGTTATACTTTAAAAACAAAACAATTTTCACTCAAAGTAAAGGCTTTTCTCCCGGGATAAAGGAGAATATTCCTACCTGGGGCCAGAGAGGGGGAACTAAGCTCCAGCTACCACTTCAGAAAACCAGACAGGCCAGAGCTTCCAGAAGCCCAGGCCACGGTTAGACTGCGGTGCTGATGCGCCAAGGTGCGGCTGCATATAAGAAGCAACCAATCGCCCTGGCCGGTTTGGCTCAGCGGTTAGTGCCTTGGCCTGCGGTCCAGAGAGACCCAGGTTCAGCTAAGGGCACGTACCTTGGTTGCCTTGGTTGCAGTTTGTCCCTGGCCCTGGTTGGTTGTGGGGGTGGCAGCCACTTGATGTGTCCCTTTCACGTGGATGTTTCTCTTCCTCTCTCTCCCTCCCACTCTGTCTGAACAAATCAGATGAGGATTAAAAAAATAGCAACCAATCAATCCTGGCCAGTTTGGTTCAGTGGTTGGAGCGTTGACCTGTGGTCCAGAGAGAGGCAGGTTAGGTTCCCACTAAGGGCATATGCCTTGATTGCAGTTTGTCCCCAGCCCTGGTTGGTCCTGCTGGATGTGTCTCTTTAATGTTGATCTCCCCCCCCCCCCCCACTTTAACTGAACAAAAAATGTAAAAATATCCTCGGGTGAGGATAAAAATAAAAATAAAGAAGCAACCAATCAATGCATAAATTATGGAACAAATCTCTGTTCCACTATCTCTAAAAAAATTTCTTAAAAAATTTTAATGGAAAGACATAATCTTATTTTATTATTACTAATTTAAGTATGTGACCGCAAAGAAATGAAGGTAATTTACCAACTCAGAATTTTTGTAAGTCCATGAAATTTCCATTTTATTTTAGTTTCA